ATACTGAACTGGTTGGTTGGAAGAAAATCTTGGTCTGGATTTGTACTTTCTGGCCCTGAACTTTCTACCTAAGGGCCACAGTTCAGGGTGCATAGCTAACAGGAGCAAAGGACAGTGAACGGCAGAGCTTCGCAATGCAAAAATGCGAAGAAATACAAATAAGCTATATCAGCTAATACATAACACAAAAAAAAAATAATGCTGACGTTTTGCTGAGGCTGTTAGAGCACTAAAGGTCTGTCCCTAAACGTTATGTCATTTTGCGCCGCGTTACACGAATGGGTTTGACGTTCCCCATTCTGCCCTGTCTGGTAAGTCACTCTCGAGGGTGAGGGTCTCGATAGCGAATCGCCCCACATGCCGGTTCCTGTTACGTTAGCGTCACTGGAGTGCTGCCTAACCGAGTGAACCACGGAAACAGTGACAGTGAGCTTTGAGGAAAAAAAGGGGTCAATGTGTTTCAAAAATTTAAAAGATATGCGCACCTGAAACGCTGCTTTAGTTTTCGTGTCTGGAATCCAGGCCGCTTCCCACAGCTGTGAAAAACAGATAAACAAGCCTATAAACCAGGTGCTGAGAGCTGGATCCAAGTCCATTAAGCCATTAGCTTACATGACAAACGCTTCCAGGTCTGCTTAAGGCACGTCCATGCATTGGAGGCCAATACGAGACATTTGACAATAAAATATTCAAATAAAAATGTTTTTCTCCCCCCATTTTCATGTTTCTTATATTCCCTGAAAACAGAGTTCATAGTACAAATCTAAGCAATATATCACACACTGATTTGCTTTTCATATATTCGGGAAAAAAACAGATGAACTGAATCCCTTAGCTGGCTACAATATTTCAAAATATAGTATTCATACGACCTCTTCTGGCGGAAAACTGTACTGCAGGACAGTTGTGCGTTTATAATTTAAATATATAAATATAGATTGCTACATATACAAATTCAGAGCTTAGACCTCACATATCTGGTGCTCAGCAATGTAGTGAGTTGCAAATCTAAATACATATAATTAAATGTTAAAAGGAGGACTATTTGATCAAGGTAATAAAACATATTAGTAGTTGTTTGTGGGCACTCACATTAAACAATATTGTTAATAACTAAACTCTGGCATCTGCAATACTAACAAAGGTCACTCACAGTCTTTGGAAATCCACTTATCCAGATCCTCCATCTCTAATTCCAGGACAGATGGAACGTCTTCCTCAAACTTAGGCCTGGAGAGACAAAATTGGGGTTTAAGAAACAATACTGGACTGGCGAATCTCCTGCTTGCAATCTCGCTTTGACTGCTGAATGTCCAGCGATACAGCAGGAGAAAAAAAACTTGTATGTATGATGTTTCATCCACCCAATTTCCAACCTCATATCCAGCACAAGGTTATGAGAGGCTATAGAGCTCATCCCAGCAGCACAGAGCACTAGGAAAGTGATCGCCATGGACAGGATGCTAGTCATTCAAGTGATACACACATCCACACACATACAATCACACTACGGACAATCTAGCAACAGCAATTCGCTTTGTGTGTCCAAACCAGCTGAAATGCTACTGCCGTCCAGAAGGGGGTGCTACACCCACAGACACGGCCATGCAATCAATTTTACAGGAGTACGTTACATAATTTTTTGTTATATTAATATACGTTTATACACAACAAATGTTCTCTTCACCAGTTGACTAATATGTAGCAATCTATTATTATATTATTATTATAATTCATTAATATAATTGGGCTGAAGTAATCTACGTATAATCTACGCAGCTGACTAACTGGCAATACCTGAGTAACATCAAAACAAAGACAGATGGCTTGGTTCAAAGGCATCTCCGTCAAACAGGATATCACACATGCCGCAGGTCTTTGAAGCGTTAGAGACTTCAGTTATGACACTGACAGTCCGTCACTGTTCACGACGGCCTTCCAAACTTTCGATGATGTGCACGTTACAGGTTCAGCTACACCCCAAACTGAGTCACGAAACATTACGTCTGCAAATCCCCAAGACAAAGAGCCTGACTCTATTTAAAAGCCTCAAGTCGTAGTCGTGTCAGTGAGTTACATTCGTCAGTGGTTGGACTTGAGTCAAAAACAAGTCACACACAAATACAAAAGCGTCCTCTTTCTTAACACGAGAGGGTTACCTCCAAAAAAAAAAGAGTTTCACGCTCACGATCAACTGGCAGTGTCACAAAAGGCCGCGTCTTGCAATTAAACGTGATTCACAGTCAGGCGTGATCGAGAATTAATATAAAGTGTAAGTTCCTTAAGCAAAACAGGCTGACTACAGAAATTATCCGCCACACCCCTGCCGACAAAACCAGGAAGTGAACAAGAAGAAACCTGACCCAGACTGTAACAAAGCAACGCTGAATGAGTTGGGGACAGAAGACCACGAGACATGGCAAACAAACTAGTCAATAGAAATTACTTCATCTTCAATCTGTCAGCTTGGTGAGTTACCTCTAACGTAGTTTAAAGAACAACTCACTTGCCATCACAGGCTGTACAGGAAATCAAAGGGGGGGTATCACGTGATAGGAACCTGGTTCAATTCACCAGGTAAACAGAGATGACACTACTGGTGATGGCTACATATTATGTTAAAACCCAAGAGCTCCATGTCTCCAGGGTCGCTGTCATGGGGGGGTAATTACAAACCATGCCCTCCCAAAGGCCTTATTGTGTCTCCCCACCCAGAACACCGTCCTTATTATATTTTAGTGTCATTTTAATAAAGCTGTTCATCCTAAAACAAACAAATTTTCAAAAATTATCCGGAATTTTTAGCATTACAGTTTCGATTGACCCCCTTCCCCCCCCACCTGACAAATTGTGTCGTCATGAGAACCATCATCAGATTTGTTCTGGCCCCGACACTGCGTGTATCATTCCTGTTATGAACCAAAGCTAATGTTCTCGGTAAGAACGTTGTGTGTGTGGGAGCGTACAGGCACCTGAGCGTACACTATCCTGTACTGTGCTTCCACGCTGGTTATGCCTTGTTTTATGAATAAAAATACACACAGATCATTGGCCAATCAAGTCAGAAGCATTAAATGCCCTGTCTGGTATCAGTGAAAGATTGAACTTACATTGGAATCTTTTCGCCATTGTCTTTGAATAATTCGTCATCCTTTGTTTTATCTGAAAGAGAAACCGTACTTTTACAACACTGGTTTCTTGATTAACTTGAAAACAAAATAGGTCAGTGCATCCCGCTAAGCATTTTAAGGCTTGTAGGAAGCCTAAATGTTGATGCCAGTTAATCGATTTAAAAATGCTATTAAATTTGAGATAATTCCCTGTCCAGTCACAAGTTTCTAGCACTGCATTGGCTGTTAATTGGTTGGATTTTCTTTTGGCTGTCAGGGCCGCATCAGTTAAGCGGAGGTTGCAGGACACGTGACTACACTTACGCAAGCTGTTGAATTGGCTCCTCTGCCTTCGCCTGACAAGGACAACAGCGATAAGGCCCGCTACCAGCAGCAGAAGGACCAGTGGGACAGCCATCGTCAAGGTGCTCAAATCCATCCCGTGCTTAGGATTGCTGCCAGGCCCTGCAGTGATCGACGGCTTTGAGAGACCAGCTAGGAATAAAAAATAACAGCCTACATTGTTAGAGAGGTCAAGTCAAATGACTCTTGTGTAACTTCCATGTGTACTGCCATTAACAGTCCGAAAATGAGCTGCTAACGCAGTCATTTTGTAAGAAGAAAAATCATGTTCTGCTGGGAAGCTTGACTGAAACATAACAGTGTTATTTCTAGAAAGTTCATTTACCTGGCACTTTCATCCTAACTGACTTATAGTAGACGGAAGGGTTACAATATATGTGTATTTCCTGTGATCTGAACCCATGATCCTTTGTGTTGTTAGCATAATGCTAGTGATAGCGAAATGGAGCTTCATGAACCATTTGCTGTATTTTTTCACCCCACTAGGTGGTCCTCTCTATTACAAAAATGCCTCAAGGCATGCACCAAAGCAAACCAAGAACACCAACTAGTGGGGCCAGAAAATACAGCAAATGGTTCATGAAGCTTCATTTGGCCATCACTACATAGCACTCTACTTGTCGAGCTGCATTAGCCATTAGACATGCCTAGAGTCCACCAGAAGCAGCCAGCCAATAAGAAAGCTTTCATCCCCTGAGGATACTGACCTCTCTCTTGAACGGGACCCCCGGTAGTAACATTTGGGCGCCTGCCTTTGTGATCATGCAGTTTGTCGTCTCCTATGGCTCCGTCAAGCCAGTCACCTTCACCTACCATTTCAGAAACAGCCTTTATTTACTGTATGTCACAGCATGCTACAGTATGGGACTGGTACAGAACATTTAGAGCCAGTTTCAATGCTGACACAAGTTGGGTCATGTGACAGGTCTCAATTCAATTTTTTTTTCAGCCACACTTTCGGATTACGACCCACCAGTTGCCTTGTGGTTTCAAACCCCTAGACCTCAAATACTCGCTTGAACTTTACCTGAGATGGGGAGCTGGAGCTCTTCTGCACCTGCATCCATGGCTTCAGAAAAATGGTGGTAGAGTGAGGAGGCCATTTTAGACTATATAACAGCAGAGCTATTTTACTAATGCTATAGTTAGAAATGAATTTGATTCTGTAACAAAGCATTCAACAGTCACGTGCAAAATTACGTCATAACGAAATGAAATGAATCAGGACTATTACTGGCAGGTGTCGCCTCAGCTGATATGATTGTTACATCGTACGTTAAGTGCATTACGTAATTCGGCACCAAACGCAGAAACAACGCCTCCCGCCAAAAGTTTACCTGAGTTCTCAGGATCTTGGTTCTCCAGCTCACTCTCCGCGGTGGGCAGGTGCTCGCCGAGCACTGAAAAGTAACAGAAAAACTCCTCATTGTGTTTGTTTAGTCAGCTAAAAACCATACAGCAAGAAAGGCAGTGAAGCAAGAGAGACGCATTCTAGGTGTCAACCCAACCGAAACCCATCATCACAACTCCACAAACTGCCAGATTTTCGCTTCTGTGGCAAACCCCAATTCGCACCATCTAAGAAAAGTGATCATATACGATGGTTTAAAACATGCTTATTTCTTGTCCTTTGCAGGCTGTATTCGGGATAAGTCTGTGTCACATCCTCCGCAGTGTCGCTTGACAGTAATAAACCAACACGCTACAGAAGTTACATCTCGACAGAAGTTATTTCTACTACAACGAATAGCCTTACTTAAATCACTGGTTCCTTTTCAATGTTTATACGTAAGTACAGTTTTATTTTTAACGAAACCCCAGACATCGGGGATATGCATAAAGATTAAAGTTAGTGAACAACAACAAATTTTAAACAACAAATATTAATGCAATAAAATATATTGTACTAACAATGTTACTACATTAAAATATACCAGATAACACACAAAACGATGAACCTTTATAACTTTATAGAACTGCACTATTAATATGTAACGAGATGTAAATATTTAGGCATATGTATTTCCTCATACACGCAGCTGGCGAGTTAATTCATCGCACAAAATCCTGGGTGTAACTTTTCCAGACCCAATATTTCATAATATCCTGTCAGGAGTTTCGATTCCCTCGGCTGTGTTTACCCACACATTACACGATTTTGGTTCATTTTCTAATTTAAAGACGACCTCCATCTTTAGTTTACCTTCCGGAAACTAACGGTAACGTACTAATTCCATGGGCGAAGTATGGCAGCTTTTCATTCACAGTGGCAGGTACAAGACAACCGCCGGTGACTCAGCTGGACCATTCTATTGTTCTTAAAACAGTTTTAATGACCACTTTCACACAGGGTCCCTAAAAACAGCGTTAATGTTTCCTAATGACGTGCTGGTCCTTATAATCTCGAAGAGGATGTCTGGTTTTTATGCAGCTGGTGACAAAGTGTGAAGACTAAATTAGTTTAGATCATAAATTAAAATGTTTCTCCCAGACCCTTTCCCACTAATACAAGTGATGGGTAAAAAAAAACAACATACGAGGAAAGAATAAAATGTAAGAAATCGTTTTGGAGGCTCTTAAAGGTCGTCGATATAGGATACCTACCACTGTAGGTTTATAGCCTAAATTTAAAGTATATTTTAAGTTATTATTTTTTTTTTACCAATAAAAGAAGACACCATTAAACAGAAAAAGCATAAACAGCACCAAAATTCAACCTCCCGCCCAAAAAAAAAGACAAACCAGATGCTCAACGACCACAACACCACATAAATCCCCATCCATCCTCCCCTTCATTGAACTCCTCATCTCCTTTTGCCCTGGGAGAGCGGCGGAAGCGTGTCGTCCCTGAGCGGGATAAATGCCGTTCCATACCTACCGGAGCCCAGAGCGGCGGCCGTCAACAGTAGGACCAGTAGGGTCATCCTGCGGCCCCCGTTCAGCCCTCCAGCCTCACCAGAAGCAGGCATGGTGCCATTGAACCACGACTTGCGCTGTGGCTGTCATGACATCCTCTACTTCCTGTTTCCTGATTAGGCTTTGACTCACCTACATTTTTTTTTCTCGTTAGCAAAAACAAGAGATCTCTCGGATGTGATGCAATCAGGCTGTGAGCTGTCGAGCATGTAGCCACAGGCCTGGCAGCTGACTCAGATCGCTTCAAATTCCCCCAGCTAAGGTACACGGACATGCCAAAGAAAGAAAAAAAAACAAGCACTGAATCCATTGAAGAGAAGAGTCGACTTTAAAAGACCTTTAAAAGTGTAAAGAATAGTCTGAACATGCAGTTCTTCTTTTGTATTTAAGTTTCCCGGTGACATTGAGTGGCAAAAAAATTCAGTGCAACTTTGCATGTATTCCACTCAACAAAAACTATCTAGTCCACTATTGCGCATCATTATCAGATTCACACACTATGTTGTAAAAAGCAGAACAGCTGACATAAGATAAGTCAAGAGCTCTGTTTTCGCTGGGAATAAGAAAAAGACAGATAAACGGTGCAGTTTGCATGCTTAAACACAACCATTTGCAACTGAGATTGCTATTGTCGAGGGATGCCCTGGTTTACTTTCGGGCTTTTGGACTAGATAAGTGCTTGATTGAAAAATTTGCGGACAGAGGGATGGAAGGATGGATGGATAGTGCATTGTCAGAATTCGTAGGCTTTTCATCCGTTGGTATCAGCTATAGAAAAACACCCTTAGCCGAAAGCATGTACATAACATGGGAGTGTACTTGATGGGGATTGTTGCTCCTCTCCTTTCACTGCACGTGTGCAGGGGGGGACTGATCTGCTGGGGGGGGGTTGATCAGTTGGGGCTCCTTGCTCCAAATACACAAATGACATCTTCTCTGTGGGCGTAGATTATGGGAGGGGGATGGAGGGGTGTGACCCCCCCCAATAATCAAAACCAGCCAATACCACCCCCTGGACCCCCTTAAATGGGTGGAGACCTCAACCACCCCCAATGCTCAACCGAAAGCTATGCCCTTGTCTTCCACCATGGACAGATCTGTCATGGTAGAGGCACCAAAATTATTCGCTTACACGCTGAGGCACGGACAGGTTGCCATGTGATCTGGGAGCAGCCCGTGAGACGAATCAGGCTGGTACACGCCAGTGAATCACGGACACAGTGAGGCATGTGTCACCTTCTTTAATTCAGAATAACAAAGAAAAACAAAGGAAACTATTGAACTGCAGACTTCAGTTAAGCCATCATGACACCATCATGATTAAGTGGGAGGGGATTATTTAAGCCAAGACAGGACACTTTCGGGACCAGTTTATTTCTGTGGGTTCTATTTTTGTATGCTTTTGGCACCAGAGCATAGAACATAAGCTGATTCACCTCCAGGAAATACTTAATAAAGTAAAATACGGAGCTCACATGGTCAGAATTTATCGCTGACTGTGGCAAATTCTGCAATTTTATCAGATCTGAGCTATATTTAACTCTGAATAAAGTGTGTGGGTTATGTCTCGGAACAGAGCAAAGCTCTTAAACTCGTTTATTAAAACACACAGCTGCAGATTGACTCATGGTCAAGAGATTTTATTTATAGACGACAATTGCATTCATCTGACATTTCCACAAAGACACACAAGATCTTTTTTTTCTGCGTTAGATGAAGTGAGGCACCAGTGGTGTAAATCTGCATTTTTCAGCCGTTACAAGATCACAACTAGGTAGAAGTTTATCTGAGTGACATGCTTTACTATCTTTATTAGCACATCCACAAATACAACTTTACTCCCAGTTCATAAAAAAACACTGAAGCACATTAAAACATGAGGATTACAGTTATGAGTTGGTTAGCTACAGACCCCCCCCCCCCCCACCCCCCCTCCCCTGCTCTTTGGTTTAATTTCTGGTACACTATTGGCAAAGATCACTGTTAACACAGAGAGCTGTTGTTCAGTCATTATTTTCAAATTACCAGCCAGGCTGCTATAGTCCAAAATCTTATCCAAAAAGACCAGTAAAGAAAGGCCAGGGACCAGCACATCATATGGCACACGCACGGACAGAATGGTACACCTAAACCACATGTGATTGGGTTTTATGAAGATACCAAGATTTCCAATGAGAGTATACTGTATGTAGAGAGTACAGTGAGATTATACTTTATGTAGAGATGAGTACAATGAGAGGATACTGTATGTAGAGAGTACAGTGAGAGGATACTGTACAGTGAAAGTATACTTTATGTAGAAAGTACAATGAGAGGATACTGTATTCGACCCGCATCCACCGACCGATGATTGGTTAGGAAACGTCGAAACAGAACATAACTTACAGCTAATTTTAAACCATTATCGCACATGTGGAAGCTGTGGCGGTAATGCTACTCATGAATATCTTCCGTTTCCGTATCTGTTCTGCAGTCAGATAGCGAAGTACGTTGTACGTTTTAGTACAAGGGACTCAGAATATGAATTGGTGTTGAAGGACTGTCCTGTCTGTTCACTTGGCGCTACCTTGGGCGTTGAGAAATTATGCAGGGTTGTCAGATCTCACGCACCTGGCGTGACACTCACGCAAGAAATCTAACGGCAAATCTATATTGTTTCATTGTAAATCTAACATTAGCTACATAAAAAACGTTGGGATAGTTTGCAAACCCTACAGACTATCTTCATTTACATACATGTAAATAAGTGTGCAGGCTTGTCTTGAATTGAAAATCTCACGCCAGACTGCTGGCCGAAGTTGGCAACGCTGCATTATTAAAAATGCGCAAACTGCACATTATCGTGCACTATATGCACGATATCTGGTGAAATACACATAAGATTGCAGCAAAAGATTAAAAAAAATAAGCAAAGCGTGCTTATGAAGAGAAATATTTGAGTCGTTTTTTTTTCTTTTTAAAAAGTTTAACTGTTCCTCAGCACCACCTAGTGGTAGATAATTGGATTTGCAAAGAAAAGCCGTTGCAGAGTTATAACATAATATCGTTGTCAATGTTCCACTGTAACTTCAGCAGGAGGACAGACAACCACTGCAATATGTTTATAACATTTAGTGTTACAGTGGCTTCACGAGTAGTACTGTCAAACACCTCTAGGAGTAGAGGTGTGAATTTCACCCCCAGTCTCTCTATGCTGAATTGGTGTCTCAATCCCCCCTCCCAATTATTATCCTGTACTAGATCCAGTAAGCCGGTATTTCCCAACCCAGTTTCCAGGGTCCGCCAGACAGTTCACATTTTTGTTCTCACCCAGCTCTTGGTCATTGAAGGACACTGAACACCTGGTACCTGGTACAAGCATGTTGGGACTTGGGAGGAATAAAAAAATGTGGAGTCTTGGGTTCCCCGCGGACTAGGTTGAGAAACACTGCTGTAAGTCATTGGTGATGGATGGCTGTTTGTGACATGACAATTTCTAGTCCAGATATAACTTTGCAAAGGCCTTCTTCAATGCTGAAGGCGGCTTTTTTGAGTACCACCATTATAATCCCCTTCAATTCAGTAACTGTACACGTGAAAATACAACCTTCCCCTAAATGCACAGACGCAAAATATAGAGAGAACTACAGAGACGCATCGCGCTGGCTCGGTCACGTATGAGAATGACGTCATGTTAATCTGTTGCCTCTAAGCGTAAACGGCAAGCATAGATCTTTTCCCAATCATACTTGGCACGCGGTACACAGTTTGTTCTTCTGCCCACACCGGGCGTTCAGAATTACGTAAATGTTCTCGACACAGGAAGCCTTTTCTTTTGTTCCTTTTTCGAAAACCCAAGACTTTTTGCATATACTCCACATTTTCCTCGGCTCTGGTCACGTATTTGATTTATATTTGATTAAATGGTACATTCAATTTCAAACAACTTTGCAGCGCCAACAGTCCGCCTGAACAATGATACGTGACTGCATTTAAAACAAATATTAGCTGTTTATTATCACATTTAGTGATTTCTTTAACACATAAGTACGAATAAGATCAAACAATCCCCGAGTGTTCATCCATAGACAACAGCGCCCTCTACAGCCCGCAGGCCGCTCAGTCCAGGCATTAAAAACTTCCAACAAGTTCACCGGCAAGTTTGCTTGTGAAACCAAAGCAGGAGCAAAGGCGGTCGCGTTGGCATAGCGGCGAAAATGCCGATGGAGACCACGGCGTTATTAAACCGGTGCAACTGCGCAGAAATTGGGGCGTAATAGAGTGCCGGATGTTGATGTCCGATCGCGCTCGCGCTTGGAAACCGTCCCCTTCCGGGTCTGAGCGACTCTCGCCGAGCCGTATGTAGGAAACTCAGATGGGCGCCGCGTCGGTGCAGAGTTTAATCTAACACGGGATACGGACAGCAGACAGACGGAGCGTCGACGCCGAAGAGGGGAGAAACAGCGGCACTGGGAAGAGTCAGTGCGCCCATCGACGTTTGCAGGTGACGGAACTGGGGGGATGTGTTGCCTTGGAGCCCAGACACTCTCTGAGAGAGGTTCTCCGGCTGTGGGGGAGCGGGATTAGGGCCCCGGGGTTAACTGATCCGCTGTCTTTCGCGGGGAATTTGATCACCTCCCCGAGTTTAGCCGGTACGGTAAGTTTCTCTGCATATTTCTGTAGGTGGATGGTTTAACCATCAGCTGTGGCTACGGGTACGTTTGTCGTTGTTCTACACGTACTCGTACACGGAACCCCAACGATCGGGGCGCGCCCACCTTTTATAAAGTTTGGGGGAAGTCAGATGTGCCTAATAACGTTAAGATGGGAAATGCGGTGCTCAGCGGAAACGGACAACAAGTGTCATGGGCGCCTGGGGTTTGGACAGCCGGGTCTAGAGCAACCCACTGAGCCGGTGGCCCCGCTGGATGTGGAGCCGGAGCGTAGAGCCTCGGCTCGTCCCCTCCGTCGGGCCCCAGTTTTGGGTTCGTCCCTCCGTCGGGCCCCCGTTTTGGGCTCGATCGCCGAGCTCCTACTACCGTGTACGTGTCGCTGTCAGCTGCTGGGCGGCTTCCTGCTCCGCTCTTAAAGGGGACGAGCGGCGCCCCCCGTGTCGCCTTTTTCATGCAGTAAAAACCCGGTCGATTTCCTTGTACGTC